AGAGCGGGCCTGAGAGCATCACGAACTCCGCTGAGTGCCCACACGCCGGCTCCCAGGTACAGCGGCTGCATCCCGGGGACCACAAGGCTCCAGCCCTCAACAAGCCACTGCCCCCAAGCCTGGGCAAGGACCAGCCCCCTGACTGTAGTAGCAGTGACGGCTCTGAACGGAGCTGGATGGATGATTACGACTATGTGCACCTTCAGGTAAAGAACCAGACTCCTAAGGCACCTACACTCACATGCAGGGGCCTGGGGCTAATGCCTATAAGGCTGGTAGCTAGATTACCAGAGCCGAGACCAAGATTAATGTTCAGAAACGTGATGAATGGTTCACAGATTGGAGGCAGTGTTGTCCAGTAGGAAGAATACTGGCCTGAGAGTCCTGAGTCCTCTAGACTTTTCCGTGATACTGTGTCACCAACTTATGTAACCTCATCTCACTGCCTCATTTGCAAAATGAATGAAGCACAGGGTTGGATTAGATCTGATGGATATGCCTCAGGCAAGCAGGAGGAGACTCCCCAAGTAGGTTAGCGGGCCCACAAATAGACATACCAGCTCCACTTCTGTTTGCATTTCATGATACGGTTCTGCACGATACTTTATTTGAAAAAAAAAGTAGGGCGAGCGGTGTTTCACAGTTAAAGAAAAAGATATGAAAACCTCTGAATTTCTAAGGTCCCTTCAGCTCCATGCTGTGTATGTGTATGTGTGTAGAATCACTCACAGAGAAACTTAACCCCACCATAGGCTGACCTTGAAGAGCACTGGGCATTTGCCAATTGACCTAGAACTTAACGGCATATGGAAATCGGGCCGTCACAGTCTGCGTCCCCCAAGTGGAAATTCCACCAGGTTGACTCGGGATCCTGACAGCTTGCCCTTTCGGGGGATTAAAACATTCTACAAGATCCATTATTTAGAATTTGCTTTACTATCTTATTCTGCCATTCTTTTCATTTGACTGACAGCCGTTAAGTATCCTGAGCATCATTACACACAGTTCCTTTGCGTACAACTGGGGAGGGGAGAGCAGAGCCACACCTTGTGCTGAAGAAAAGTATGGGGAGAGAGCAGACCGAGGCCTTAAACATTGACCTGGCTGGTTGTCCAACTCTGCCTCTTGGGAAATGCTAATTTGGTGTAGAGCTGTCGATGATTGAAAGAAACTAGAAATACAATGTGGACCATGTTTAGACCCCCGTTAGGGGGTTTATGGGTTTGCATATAATCTATTAGAAAAGAGCTCTGAGAAAAAGTACTGCTTAAGGAGGTTTGAAGGGGGCCACGGTTAGCCCTCCAAAAATGGTAAAGTGGAGCGGAGAGCATGGCCCCCCACATGCAAATGGGTTTTAGTTTTCAGTTCTCATCCACACAGTGACTCTGGAAGTCTGGCCGAGAAGCCCTGCCTGGGGTTCACGGGGCCTAACTGGGCATGCGGGAAATTGCCAAGGCAGTGGAAAATGGAAGAGTATTCACGTGTTTGTCAATGAAAGTGTTATTAGCATAAGTGAATCCTAGTGGTGACATCATGTTTTCTTTATGTTGGAAAATAACAGGGTAAGGAGGAGTTTGAGAGGCAACAGAAGGAGCTCTTGGAAAAAGAAAATATCATCAAACAGAACAAGATGCAGCTGGAACATCATCAGGTACGTTCAATCAGAACAAGAACTACTTGGTATTGAAAAGATTTCCCTTAATAAGGAAAGTATAACTTCAAAAGATCAGTGTTTTAAAAAAAAAAAAAAAAAAAAAAAAAAAAAAGATCATGGTTTTGATCCTCCCAGTACACTTTGGCATAAACAAGCTCCAAGGCACATAATAGGGTATAAGAACAAAGAGAAGGTCTATGGCCTAAGTAATCTAGCTGGGTGTACCTGGACCATGTCCAAATACAGTTTTTCCAGGCTAAGCCTGTACATCTAACATATTAAGACTATTGGGCTAAGGCGGTTGGTCTCAAGGAGTAAGACGCACTCGAGCTGGCCCAAGCAAACGGCTTTTATAGTAAAGCCACAATAGGGGAATCCGAGAACAGAAAATGAAGATATAGCCATGGCTTAAAGAACTAGGACTGTCAATGTCCTCTCCTTCCTGTACTAACTTTGTGTCTCTCTAAGTTGACATCCTTGGCCTCTATTTTCTGGCAGTTTCCTCTGATTATCTACTCATTTGGCTCCCCTGTAACTTTACAGAACCCACAGCTGGACACTCAAAGCCTTTCCTATATATAGTTTTTCATCTCAGCTTCCTCGCTAATAGTCAGCCCCTTCTGTGGTTTATCAAATTCCTTAAAAGAGAGTCTGGGCCATTACCTGTCTAACTATCTCCCTCTGTCTCTCTGTCTCTATCATCTCTATCTCTGTCTCTCCCCAAGCCTGTGGCTTGGCTGTTCTTGGTCCAATCTAAGGGGAGGAGGGCAGGATCCAGTGTTTTCAAAATATATCCAAGTCCATTTACTAAGGGCTTTGGGCAAGGCAGTTTCATTCAAAAGTTGGGCATGAGTGAGGCAAATAATAATGGGTATTGCTAATACAAGGGCACAAAAATAACGAGAAATGGATGGAGGATTTATAGGCCTTTTAGGATAAACTCGTGTAGGGACATGAAATGGCGCACTGAACTCAGGAAACCAGAGTTCTAATCTGTGCTTTCTGGCCAACCAATCATATGACCTCAGGCAAGTCACTTAACCTCCCTGAACTTCGATTATTTCTCTATAAAATGAGAAAGTCCCTCTCCCCTCCGACCTAATGAGATGATATATTTATGAACATACTTGGAAAAGCATAAGCTGAATATCTTGAAGCATCGCCCTGTATCTGTTTATGTTTGCTTTGGCATTTGGCCAAGTAAGACTGCAGGGCTTTGGGGAACTTGTTGAAATCATAGTAATTCCTAAGAAGAAAACAAGAGTCTACAGAAAAGGAAAGCTCGCTGTGCACTTCTCAGGGGAGAGGCTGGGTGAGGTTAACCCTGCTCAGACTCAACCCTATTTCAGGGCAGAAGACTGAGTCCTAAACTCCGGTCACAGATAGATAGTGCTTGCCTGTAAAAGAGAGCCTCTCCTGACACTTGGTGCAATAGCTGGAAGTTATTATCATTGCAGTTTAAATAATACACCAGCGGGGGGCAGTGAGGAGAGAAGGGAGAAAGCTAACACTGAGTCTGACCTTGTGTGAGGCCCCTTCCTTTCGACCGCTCTGGGGGTCTAAGTGTTACGATGCACAGCCTGCGTTCAGATTCCCTCAGAGAAGTTCTCTTCCACAGTGCACATGTATTTATATGCAGTAGTCTACCCTGTAGTGCTGGATAATAACATTTATAAATCTGGACAGAAAGAGTAGGAAAAACAGAAAAGGGTCATGGATTGTCATTTATCTAAGTGCCTTGAAGGGACAAACTCAAGGCTTTCCCCCAGAAGGAGCAAACTGTCAGTGACTGACTTGACAAAGAGATCCCTACGTTTGCTTTTCCCTGGCCACCACTCAACATTTAATAAACATTTACCTAGAGTCTCCATTATACCAAACACTATTCTAAGCACTTTGCAAATATTAACTCATTTAACCTTCGTAAAGGTGTAGGTAACAGAGCTGGGTTTAAACCCTATGCTGCCTTCCAGCCTGAGGAGAGAAGAGACCAATCGTGTCCAATCACAGAAGTGAGAGCTGGAGGATTCCTTAGGGATCCTCTTTGTCAGCCTGTACAGTTCACAACTTAGGAAAGCCAGGCAACTGGACCAGTCTCGGCATCTAATAAGCACCTCACACTGGGATGAAGATCCCTGCGTTTTAACTGCAAGTCCTGGTTAATTTCCATTTCGGCACATCGCCTCATCCTTAACAAACTCGGCTTTTTCCTTCCCTGCAGCTGAGTCAGTTCCAGTTGTTGGAACAAGAAATCACAAAGCCCGTGGAGAACGACATCTCCAAGTGGAAGCCCTCCCAGAGCCTCCCAAGCACCAGCAGCGGCGTGGGCGCTCAGGACAGGCAGCTGCTGTGCTTCTACTACGACCAGTGTGAGACCCATTACATCTCCCTCCTCAACGCCATTGATGCTCTCTTCAGCTGCCTCAGCTCGGCACAGCCCCCACGGATCTTCGTGGCGCACAGCAAGTTCGTCATCCTCAGCGCCCACAAACTGGTGTTCATCGGAGACACGCTGACAAGGCAGGTGGCCGCCCAGGATGTTCGCAACAAAGTGATGAACTCCAGCAACCAGCTCTGCGAGCAGCTCAAGACTATAGTTTTGGCGACCAAGACGGCCGCGCTTCATTACCCCAGCACCTCCGCCCTGCAGGAGATGGTCCACCAGGTGACCGACCTGTCCAGGAACGCGCAGCTCTTCAAGCGCTCTTTGCTGGAGATGGCGACATTCTGAGCAGCAAAAGAGAGACTGACTTGGATTACTGAGGAAAACTGGAAATACTCTCTGGTTTTTGTAAATCTTATCTATTTTTGTAGATATTTTATATGAAAATGAAATATTTTAACATTTGATGGGTCAGACGACATTCAGAAATTCAGGGAACTCTAGGGGAACTTTTTTTTTCCTGCGTGGTTCTTGTGTACACATCTAAGCATCTGAGATGTAAACTGTACAGAATCCTGTCCGTGTGTGTGTGTGTGTGTGTGTGTGTGTGTGTGTGTGACTGTGTGTTCACGTTCGTTCATAGATGTTTGATACATTCCATTGAAAACCATGAATTAAGAAGCACCTTAGTAAGCACCTCCTAATGCTGCATTTTTTTTTAGAAAACATACCAGCTGGTTGTAATATTGCTCTACATATACTAGCGATTATTCTGAGCCTGTCACTCCCAAGTCTGGGAAGCATAGTATATTTGCAGGTGTGCACCTTCCAGTAAGGAGGCATGCTATGCCTTGTTTTTGTTTTTGAAACCCCTTCCAAAACTGGCTGTCTTGGGCACGTTATTGCAAGATGCCTCATTTCTGGTTGAAAAAGCCCTCTTAGAGAGAAAGTTTCAGAAAGTATATGTTAATCCAAACTCTGACATGTTAGGTGCTGGTGGAGTGACACGTGTACTTAGGGGCCATGTCCCCACTTAGGGTTGTTTCAGCATGGAGAGGACGTGTTTCCGCAGGGCTTTTTGATCATTGGCATTTATGAGCGACTTGGCCATGCGATTTTCCAAAGGATGTTTTTAGATTTGCAAAAAATATATTATTTGCAGCAGGAATTCATGAA